AGTAAATTCACGAAACCTATAAATTTTATAAATTGTATAGGGTTTTTTTTATATATACTTTTAAGTTTTGTTCAATATATCTAGAAACCTTCATCAGAAACTAATCGGGCCATTCGTCGGTTAGCGTATGGATTGCAGCGAGAGGTAACTGGCGTAATTTTCGGACTTCAGACCGGCCAGCCCACGAGGTGGTTGCCCAGTTCACGAACTGGGCAACAGGTATGGTGAGTCCGCGGAACGGGCAAAATAATCGCTCAGTTCGCGGGCTCCACAATTTTTTCAAAGGGGCATAACACACAGAAATAAAGAGGATAAGAAAAACGAGAGGATTGAGACAGTATAAACTCGATAAATTCCTTTCATTACGAGGTCATTTGGTACATTTTAAATACTGCACCAGACCATACCTCTTCTCCGGTCCTAATGATTCAGTGAGAAGTTGACTGAGTATTGCGTTTGAGGGTGCTTCAGCTTCGACGCTCGATAATTGAAGACACCGCACCAAGAACAGCCTATAACTGGAAACCGCGTTTTGAGAAAAACGTATTTAAAGTTTTGTTTTTGATGTACTGCGCAGACTTTTCTATGCAGGTACCCTGTTTTGGTGTTTTTGGGTGACCTAACCCTTCCATTGAAGGATGCCGGGTAGATTTTGCGATACATATTGGGTTTATACTCTCATATATTTAATTTAAAAAAGCGGTTTATAAGCCATTATTACGCCCAACAGTCATTTTGGTGGCAATATAAAGTATTAATAATTTTAATCACGCATGATTAACGTAAAATGAAAGAATATCGATAGTGAGTAAAGGAAGGGGTAACTAGCATCTTATAGGCCCGTTTATAGGTCGTTCTTGCACCCATCGATCCAGAGGCCTGACTTAACTCGGGAAAAAAAAAGGTTTTTCGACCTCGAGCCGTTACCTATCTATATTCTATCGCTACCACAGCATAGTCCAGGGTACGTAGAATCCGAAAGCAGATGAGCGTAATAACGACCTATACGCCTATAGGCTGTTCTTGGTGCGGTGTCCTCAATTGTAATCTTCCGGCACATTCTTACAGCGCAATGATACAACTATTTGAACACTCCCGAATGCGTGAGGTATCACGCCGCATATGAAGGCGTTTTCAAAACAGCCAAGTTCCGATACCCGGATTATCGTTTTGCATAGTTCATATTCTTTTCTTTTGTTCCGTACCACTTGTTTATTTTTATTCCTCGTATAAAAGCCACAAATTTTCAAAATACAATTCCAGCTGGAGGGAACTTCAGCTATGCATTCACCACTGCAAAAATGTCAAAGGAAATTGACAAGCCCAGCGTGTATGGAGGCTATTTCAATTGTAATCTTCCGTCACATTTCTAAGGCGCAATGATAAAACTATTTGAACTCTCGCGAATGCGTGAGGTATCACGCCGCATATGAAGGCGTTTTCAAAACAGCCAAGTTCCGATACCCAGATCATCGTTTTGCAAAGTTCTTATTATTATGTTTTATCTCCTACCATTTGTTTGTTTTCAATCCTCGTATAAAAACCACCCATTTGCTAAATACAATTCCAGCTGGAGCGCACTTCAGCTATACACTCATCACTGCAAAATTGTCAAAGGAAATCGGTTCTACGGGGGTGCCAGTGGGTGCCGGGCACCCCCAAGCAAAAATTAAGTACGGTTACTGGAACCGTGAAAGAGGCTTTTGGGCAAGTAAATACGTCAAGAAAAAAATCGTATTATGAAGCGTAATTGGCAATATTTTTATTTCATGAATTTTTTAAATCTGAAAATTGATCTAAAAAAGACCAAATTACTGCTTTTAAAGATTCTGTATTCGCTCACACTGAAAAAAATCCCAGCAATTAATTGAAAATGTTTTAAACAGAATTAATATCGATAGCCGTGTTTTACAAAGATCATACTGTTTTTTTTATGGTAAGAATGCAGTTTTGGTGAAAAGTTTTGCTAAAAATTTTCTACGTTGAATTTATAAGTATTTAAGTAGAAAGAAAGGAGAGAAAAAGAGAAAGGTAATAAGAGAGAGAAAGGTAAGAGAAAGGGTAGGAATGGGATAAAACTTGTGGGCCGGAAATTAGGCCTCCCCTGAGCGACCGTCCCCTTTGGGGCCGGTCTCCGACATTTTCCACCTCTGGGCACCCCCGAACATGAAGGTCTAGAACCGCCTATCGACGGTGAAACTACCAAACCACGTATCTCGTTTGCGGTGTTTAAAAATCTACGCTCACATTTAAGTTTTTAGAAGTAGACCAAATCAATATCATTCCTTGAAATTTTCACAGAATTTTCTCCGCGCGAAGAGGAAAAATCACAGAAATTTTCAAGGCTGGACGTTAAATAGTTTTTCATTTAAAAAATAAAGTATGACAGGAAGTCTGCGACGTCGCAAACCGAGATACGTGGTTTGGTAGTTTCACCGTCGCTTTGGTCATAAAGACCTGTACGCCTATAGGCTGTTCTTGGTGCGGTGTCCTCAATTTTAGGAGCGTCAAATCAAATTTCGCGCGTAAACTGTTTCCCGCGATTTTGGTCACCTCGTGGTATGTTCAGAAACCTCCAATAGAGGGAGCTGTAGTATCACCAATTTCATTTTTCTTGTCTCTGATTGGCCAATTCAATTTCAAAACAATCATAACAACATAACCTGTTGAATGATTGATAACAGTCCAGCTGCCAGCTGTAATCAAATGACATTGATCAATTAATTAAGCTCTCATCGTACAATTTTCTCCTTATTCTCAGTTATAATTTATGAGAAGTGATCGCCTCAGGCAGGTATTACGTTTTGGTAAGCTATTGCTGAATTGCAACTTTTTCTCTTGCATGATTATCTCTTAAATTTGACACTACATCAATCTGAGGTAGGTAAGGCACTGCATGATTTAAGTTGAGGTTCTCAATAACTTATATAAGATAGATGAGGTTTCTTGGAAGTCATTATATAAGGGCTCAAAGTTTAAAGTTACTTCTTACAGTGCATAGCATTCGATCTCTACCACAAGTGAGCTTTCAATCCTACTTAGTAAAAGTGAACCAGTCCTTTAGCTGAACTTCACTGTGGGTACGTTTTTTCACTTATATTTATTACCCAACCATTTAATTCCCCTAAATATAGGGTAGTGAACTTTACCCCTTCAATTGCTGTACTAAGTAATTTTAGAGTCCACACAAATAAGTTTACGCACTGATACACTGCGACAGAAGATACAACATCTCGCTTCTTGCATTTACTTTACATGTGGAAATGGTGTCTGGCTATTTTCAAGTGTTGTTTGTTTGGTCAGTATTAATTACTGTATTTTTATGATTAATTTCGCTATGTGTAGTAGCAGGAGCTATTCCTATTTTTGCGCAAGCTCATTCGGCGTGGACTCAACCCTGGTTCTTGATTATATAATTCTTAAATCTTTTACGTATGCTGTTTTGTTGCACAAGCACCTATAGCCAAATTTATATCTTTGTGTTCCTGAGCTCTGAACTTTGGCAGCCAAATAACAGCTTATCATTTACAATCTATACTTCTTCAATCAGCCCTGGTTAACTTCTGAAAATGGGTTCCACACTCTGTTAATCAAGGTTTACCGTCAGAAAAATCCACCGAGTAAAGTTGCCAGAACCTGGCTTCAAAATTAGTAATTAATTATTTAACTATTGCGCCAGATGTGATTAATTCCAAGTGGCAGTTAAAGTAGCATATACTTATCTAGAGTAGATAAAACAAAAAACGGCTTTTCATATTGCTACATTAATCTGAAGTTTGTCAACTGGTGCTGCTTGTTAAGCATAGCATTGTCAGATAATCAGTAGGATGGACTATAAAGGGTTGCATAGCTGTGGCCCATGAGTTTTTTTTTCTCTTTTTATCATTACGTAGTGGAAGAAATAAAATGAGAAGTAGAAAAATAAGGCTTTTTATTTAATATACCTCAATAATTTCGGCTACCAAATTTCTGCCAGCCTCTTCAAAAACACAAGCAAAAATTTTCTGATTGACATGCAGGTGACCATAGTCAAAGAGATGCTGTGATGATTGAGAAGTCTTATAGGTGAAGGAGGTAAGCATCCCCTAAGAAAAAATTGAGTTATCAGTCATTTCAAGTAAAATGTATCTGTGGGTATTAGTATTTTGAGGAATAATCGAATCCTCTGAAACTCATTTTCTGCCTAATTGCACAGATGAATTGTCAGGAAAATCACTAGTTTCTATGTAGGGACTCAGTTGTTGAAGTTTTTTAAAATATGATTGCTGCAGGTTTCCTTTTTTTAGTGGAATAGGAAAAAATGCAAAGAGGAGTTGTCAGAAAAAATGTCGATCAAATCCAAACTTATTGAGATTAACCTTGTTTACTTGGTCAGTGAACTCATAAGAAGTTCATTGATCCTCAAAATGGAGGAGTGAAATAGGAAAATTGTTTAGCCAATCTCCCCTCCCCCTCAATATTTATTTTTAATTTCTGCAGAAGAATGACGAATAATTCTAATCTTATTCAAGGAAGGGAAAGGGGATCTAATTTTTGCCATTATTTATCTTTGGTGTTTATCTTAGGCTCCTTGTTAAGACGGTGTCATTTCTGACATCATACACAAGAAAATACCCTCTTTACCAAAAACAATCATGATGCTTGAGAAATTGGAACAAATACGTAATCTTTTCCACGCTGTCTTATTTGCAGCTCTCTAGTATTTTAAAAAGAAACTTGATATCGATAGGAATAATACATTCTTCCTTCCTTTAAATGAAACCGAATAAAATTGGCACACGTGATTCACGACACTACTGACATAATGCTGATTGTGCCTTTGATTGCGCTGTGCTTTAAGTAGTCTGCAAAAGCTCTGCTTATCTAAGCCTGAAAAATATGCTCACGTTATCATCAATCATTTAAATAATATTGACTCCTAAGACTGTTATCAAGTTACCACACATGGTCACTTTATCAAAATCAACAATTAATGATTTTGCCCTAGCTGACTTGATTACGTACGCAGCCTTATCTTCCTTTCTCATTATTTAAATTAAGATCAGAGAGGGAAAGCTTTTATCGCAAAGTTTAATTCAGTGAGACTTATCACAAAGTTAGTTCAGATTGAATATCATTGTATAGTTGTAGTGACACCTTCTTCTTATCCAGGTACTATTCCTAACTTTCTTAACTCTTTCCGCCTCTATTGTTCTGCTTTTCCTAAAATTATTACTCTGCCCTAAAAATAGCTATTTGTTCCTGCAAACTAACTGGCAAAGTCAAAAGTTCTTCCTTTATTTCGTTGCGTAATTTTTGCTGTTTTTACTCTCTTTGAAAGTAAGAAAAAAAGTGTTACTGATTAAGCGTTTGGCGTTTGATCTTGTCTTGGTTCATATTGTGCAATAGATGCCTCTAGATATACACCTTGTTTCAATGAGAGATATAACTTTCTTAACCTTACCCTGTCCCTACACAATTTTCATTGAATAGTGAAGAGTTTTCTGCATTATAACGAAGGAAACATTTGGAGTCTACAATTTGCTTGATTTTTACATCATGTGCTTAGCTCCTACCCTCTCGTCCTCTTTGTGTTCAACTCTCTGCAGACTTTGGACTTTATGAGAGTTTTAAGTATGTTTAAAAATTTAAAAATGCTTGGCCAAAATACACATTTTTTTTTAAATTTTGAATCATTGCAAAGGTTTTTTCTTTCTTTCTTTTTAAATCCTAGGAATCAAAGGAAAAATTCTAAAGTTCACCAACAGTAGGGTCGTGCTAAATACCAGGGGAATCTCCGTAAATTTATTCCCCAATAACTTACAAAAGCTAGGGAAAATCAGACTTGAAAGAATGAAGTGGCGTAGCCAGGGTTTCTCCATAACTGGAAAATTCCTCCCCAAAAATGACATTTTTGTGATTTTCAGGAATTATTCACCTTCGGATCCCAAGATTTTGAGAATAAATGTTTGTAAAACTTGCAACAAAACACTAATTTCTCCATCTTTAGCATTTCCACTCTGACATCCCTGTGCTTTTTGTGAACCTTGGTGACGCATGACCGTCTTTCTTTTTAAAGCAACGTTAAGTAGTGTCCCTGTTTTTTTATGCTTTCATTTCTTTTTTTCCAGACCTGAAAATATTTTAACATGCTCAGTTACTTTATGGGGTCCTCTGAAGCAACGAGCGATGTTCCGCTCAATAAACCCCTTGCAGACAGCGATCCAGAGCTCTTTAAGCTAATCCAGAATGAAAGGAATCGGCAGTTGAAAGGTCTTGAAATGATAGCCTCTGAAAACATTACATCTTTGGCCGTCCAGCAATGTTTAGGATCTTGTCTCACGAATAAATACTCAGAAGGAATGCCAAATGTCAGGTAAGTCTGAATCATATTTTCTCCCTCAAAGGTAGGAAAATAGGAAAATGTTCAGCTCTGTTTTGATTTTTTAAATTAAAAAAAGTAATTATTAATTTTTGAAGGAGAATTTGAAGGAGAAATGCACATTTTTTTTAAAATCATAATTTAATGCAACCTCTGTTTCATCAGAGAAATAAAAAAATAAAGTCAAAATAAGATTCTTGATTTCATTGGCAAATGTAGGAAATGAAGAGGCATTTTTCAAGTTTCTATCCTTAAAGATTTTAGCAGGAGGCCCAAAACTCCGAGTCCATTTTGATTTGATTAAATTTGATAGGATAGAAAGGACTGCATTGATCGAGGACGAATCAAATATTCGCATGATCATATTCATGAAAACACCTGTCCTTTCAGATTTATCACAGGCAGATTTTTTTTCCGAAATTAAAAACAAAAGCTGGTTCCTTTAGAAATGCACATTGAACTTGAATTGTTTTGTACAAACATTTCCTTGTCACCGGATTCTTGCGCGCATTTTAATTTTAAGAGGTTTGCTTTGAATGTTACCTTAATGAGACCACAGCACAAATTAAAACCAAACAGTTGGAAAATTAATTCAGAATAAAAATTTTTAAGTAAACTTAGTTTTGGCTCAAGGAATTCCAATGCTCAAAGTAATCTTTACCAGCAATCCATGTGCCAATATTGAGTGAGTTGTAAGTGTCTTTTAAGTAATCATTTCAATTTGGTGTCATTCGTAGGTACTATGGTGGTAATGAGTTCATCGATGAAATTGAAATATTGTGCCAAGAGCGTTGCCTGAAAGCTTTTAGACTGGATCCTAATGAATGGGGTGTAAATGTTCAGCCGTACTCTGGTTCCCCAGCTAATATGGCAGTCTACACAGCTCTCCTTAAACCTCATGATCGCATTATGGGTAAGTTCATGAAATATTATTTCAATTTAATACTGGAGTCCATTGTAATCGTAAGGGTTCTGCTAGAAGTTTTTTTCATAAGTCTTGTTCACCACAATTTTGCAAATCCCGCTGCAGACAAATTTCTACACATGGCATTGAATTTGAAAAATCAGGCTGCAAAACCTTTGATAGTTTACTCATGAGAACCTTAGCTACCAGGACAAATTTTTCAAGATACTGAGTATTTTTTACCAATTTCTTTTTGGTTCCTATGCCTTTTTTGTCTTGTTGGTATTTGATTCCATTAGAGTACTGCGATAATTGTTTTTCAAAATTATTCGACAATCTAAGGGAGGTGGGTTTTACTAAATCCGCAATGTTCAAGATTAATCTGAATGAGGATAACCTTTTGAGAAGGAAAACAAAAATTTTCCTGAAAAGATGAAGGCCGTTTTGTTCTTTGCCACACCGATGCTTCCTAAACAAGACGAAATATAATTAAAAGTGTCACTTAATGAAACAATGCAAAGGAATAGACATCAAAAACAGTTGACTAGAGATGACTACTTTAATTCATCGTTGAATTATGTCCTGCAGGTTTAGACTTACCGGACGGTGGTCACTTAACTCATGGTTTCATGACTCAAAAGAAAAGAATCTCGGCTACAGCAGTTTACTTTGAGTCAATGCCGTACAAAGTCAGCCCCACTACTGGATTGATTGATTATGATAGACTTGCTGAAAATGCTAAATTATTCAAGCCAAAAATGATAATTGCAGGTAAGTGTACTTTAAGTTTCAACAAGTTAGTGCCAGCAGTAGATATTTCCAATCATTAATTGTTTAGTAGAAGAAGAAAAGTATTCCGATTTTGTTTTTTTTTTTTCAATTTGTAACTTTTTTAGGGACAAGTTTAAATAATTTTCTTGAAAAACTATTGTGTATTTTTTTTTAACTATTGTTGTCGTACAGCCAAATTTCTGGTGGTCTGGAAAACCTGAAATTCAGGGAAAGTCTGCTCTGTGGATCCATTGGAAAAATCAGTGGATTTTTTGAGCAATGTTTAGCAGAAATAAGAGTGTTTCTAAGGAAAAAGGTTTAACAATAAGTGGAAGTCTCATTCAAATGTCGGGAATAAAACCAAGAACTCAAAACTTTTGCATTCAAGAAGAAGCAAACATTGTCTGGGAAAATTTGGGAATCGGGATATGAAGAAATCATGGAAACCCTAGTCGCATCTAATGAATGTGTTTATAAGGGAAGTTTTATAGAACTCCCTTTTCTCAAAATTGTTACTTGGGTGTGTTTTAATCTCTCTCTCTCTCGCTTAGAAAGAGCATTTTTTCAAAAAGAAAAGAGGAATTCTTGCAGAATATTCAGTACCCTCTGTCAGAGGACAGAAGATTTTCTCAAAACTCAAAAAATCAAGAAGAGTCTCGGCTACAAAAATTTATTTTGAGTCTTAGTCGTATAAAGTCAGCCCTACAACTGGATAAATTAATTAAATTCTATATTGATTCTTACAAAGGGCAATTTTACGGTCAATATTTGATCCTTAAGATCTTCTTATGATTTTGAAATAACACTATGCCTGTGAGAAGCAAATAAATTGAATCGAAGTACGCTTTCCACAATCTCCGCTGAACAAGTGTTTTACTTCCTCTCTTTGACTGTATTCTCCTTGTCTTTATGGTGATAGGCTTCCAGATACAAACAGTGTATTTTTACCAGAAAAATCAGCTTTTTTAGGTAAGTTATCTCAGAATTGTCGCAAGAATGGTCAGGAGCAAAAGAGGATGCGCAGAAACTACGAAAATCATTAAGCTTGTATAGAGTGCTGATTGTCTTCCATTAACTTTGTGTAATCATCGATGTGTTAATAATTTGACATTGAGAATTAATTTCTTTGTTTTCTAAAATAATTGTACATCTAGTGTATCCTCTGGTCCTGTATTTTTCATTTTTGCCGCAGGTATTAGCTGCTATTCAAGATGCCTTGATTATAAGAGGTTCAGAGAGATCTGCAATGAAAATGGAGCATATCTATTTGCTGATATGGCTCATGTTAGTGGTCTTGTTGCTGCTGGCGTTATTCCGTCTCCATTTGAGTTCAGTGATGTTGTGGCCACAACGACGCACAAAACTTTACGAGGACCAAGAGCAGGAATTATTTTCTACAGGAAAAGTAAATATCTTTGTGTTACCTATGTCTACTTATTCAACAGAATTAACTAAGTGCCTCAATTTCATACAAGTGATGATGTAAGCTAGCAGCGTTTTCAGGAGTCATTTTTGCAGAAGAGAAGAGCTCTACTAGTTTAAAGTGGTCGGCAGAATTTTATATCTTTTTCAACAAAGATTACTATTAACATCAACGTCTAATTGAATGGCTTAGATATTAGTTTTTTTGGATTCTACAAGGGCCTAGCCTTTTTTTCCCAAGACGCTTGAATCCATCTTCAAAAAATCCTTCTATTACCTGCTTTGCTTGTGACTTTCAGATTGGCTGCATGAGCCCTTATTTCTATCATAAAGTTACATTTTTAATGTTATCTCTTCCTATTTCAACACTGTCAACAATAAGTTAAACGTTTTTGGATAAAATGAGCGACAGAAACTTTAAAATCATACGAACTCACTTAATGAGCCAGTGGCACCCATATTTATTTCCTGAAAGTGTAGAGTAAAGTAATCTTTCAGAAATTATTTTAGAATTTTTTAACTCTCAATGGCAGAGTAACCCTTTTTTGAAAATGCAAAAAATGGGGACCTTTTAAAATGATATTTTTGGTCGCTCTGATGACGTAGCCAGGGGGGAACAGCATGGTGTTTGCTGTTTGGCTAATCTCAGCCTCAGGTTTCAGGCTTCAAGCATCGCCTTGCTAGGTCAACTCAACGATCGGCTTGTGATTGTTCATGTTTCAATCAGCTTTTTCTTTCCCTTAGAATTTTTTTTTTTAGTTTTGTAATGATTTGTTTTCTTTTATCTCCCTTCAAAATTTTATGTACAAAATAGCATCCTACAATGCAGGAAATATTTCTTGCCACTCTTTTTTGCCCCCATTGTTTCCATGATTAACTAAAAAATGTATCAAATTTGAAATGAGTCTAAGAAGTACATTCTCAGCCTAACTACGACAATAATGTCCTTCTTGATGATCAAGCGTAAACTTCTTAAATGTTAAAAATCATAATCTATCATGTGAGCTGATATGTTGCAGTGTGGTTAGTATGATCATGTAAAAAAATTTTCCGTGAATTTTACTTAAAATATTATTAAAGGTCTTTGTGCCACATTTTTGCTAATTAAATTTTGTCTCTAATTTTTCCAGCCCCTCACCCATCGACCAAGCATGAAGGCAAGTTTGATCTTGAAACTAAAATTAATGAGGCAGTATTTCCCGGACTTCAAGGTGGACCACATAACAATGCAATTGCTGGGATTGCCACTGCTATGCATCAAGCAAGCACTCCGGAATTTAAGTACTATCAAACTCAGGTCATAGAAAATGCCAGACATCTTGGAGTATGTTTGACTAATCTAAACTACAAGATTGTCACGGGTGGAACAGACGTTCATTTAATTCTCGTTGATCTCAGCCCTAAAAAAGTGTCTGGTTCCAAAGCTGAGCTGATTCTTGAAGAAATTGGAATTGCTTGCAATAAAAACACAGGTATTATACAGTGTTAAATCTCTTTATCCTAGGTTTTTTATCCTGTTTTGATACTGTCACCTTCAATGAGAACTATAAGAAAAAAAAATGAATAAGGGAGAAGTTATTGAAAGTTCTAGATAAGATAGAGGAGCTTTCCTTCTTTATTGATCATTATTTAAAGTAGCTAATCAGTCTGACTCTACACCTGCTTTGTCAAGCGAATCTTTTGTAAATACTTTGGTCCGGTTGTTAAGACCAGTCTTCAATCTCTGGCCCTAAAATTTGCCCGGCATAGCTGTGGTGTCATCGTGTTACTCACTAGTGTGTCATTTATTAACTTGTCCTCCAGTCCTACTTTAGAACAATTTTTTTCAAGCCTGAAAAATCAGGTTCTATATGTGTATGTTTTTGATTCAATCTTTATTGGACACCAAGTGTGAAGGCACCAAACCAAAGTTGTATTTTGTTTGGCATAATAGTCATAACAATTACACATCAGTCCGTAACATTCCTATTTTGTTTGAGTTTTACCAATTAATAGTGGTCGGGGCTTATGTAATTGTAATTTTTTTTGCAGAGCCATGATTTGTGGTAGTCTCACCATTGAAATGTGATGCTTCACAAAAGTGATAGGCGAGAAAATTTTAAGTTGACCAATTTTTCATAATTAAATTGAAACATAGTTGATCGAGAATCTGAATCCGACCAAAGACATCGCATGAACTTGAAGCTGTGAGCAATTTACTTAAATTTTGTGCCTCTAGGTGTATCAAGCTCCATTAGAATTTTGAATATCAAAAATGGTAGATTAAAACCAGAAATAGCTTCATTCAAACCTGTGTTTTCTGAACGGGCAATTGGAAACTGTCATAGCTCCAGTTTGGTTTGACTTTTCCAGACGTTTTTGTAAAATTGATTAATTTACACCAAAAAAAAATCCAACATACTGATTAATTGACTTTACTTTGTTAAAATTCAACTCTGTAGTACGGTCTCTAAGATTTTTCTTCTTCATTTTACTCAAATTTCAGTTCCCGGTGACAAGAGTGCCATGAATCCAAGTGGAATCCGACTTGGAACACCAGCCCTCACAACTCGTGGAATGCAAAAGGAGGATATGGAGAAAGTTGCTAATTTCATACATGAAGGTTTGTGAAAATTAATCAACCTCCTTTTTTTCAAGAATATTGAAGAACAATTGAAGTCGAAAACCAAAGCCCCATTATTCAACCCATTTGTACAATGTTTGAACACTACCTCGAGAAAGAAAGTCACATTTCGAATAGACCAAATAGCCTTCTCTAAGGTCTCTCAGCTTAAATGCTTGTTTGCTCCTTTATTAGCTGTTTAAATGTAACACAAATATCAATAGTTTTCTAATACACTGCAGATTTTACTAAAAAAAAAAAAAATCAGTTTAATTTCAAACTCCGCCAATGCACTTATCATGATTTTCAAGCGATTGTGTTGTTAAAAGCAAATCCTCCCTATTTGCTCGAAATGAAATTTACAGCAGCCTAATCACTGTCCTATAATTTATTTTTTTTCACATGTTTTGTAGGAGTTCAATTGGCTCTTGAAATTCAGAAAGTATCTGGACCCAAAATTGTTGATTTCAAGAAGTTGGTGAAAGAAGATGCTGACACCCGTAAAAAGATATCCGAGCTCCGTTCACGAGTAGAAGACTTTGCTGTGAAATTTCCTCTTCCTGGGAACCCTGATTACTGATATAGGGTCAGTGTTATTGCTTGGACAAAAAATCAAGTTTCTCATCACTTAAATCATGCTATATTCAAGCTCTTGCTTAGGTCTTTCTATACGCCTCCTTTTCTCTTCCCCCTCGCTGAGAAACTGCCTTGTCATCGAAAAATGAAGTATTATTTTAAAATAAGTATGGTCGTCTTTGTATATTTTTAGTTTTACATTGTGCCTTTGAATCTCAGTGCAGTGATACTCTTTCTTTTAACAAAAGATTTTAATATTTACACATCAATTTTAGATAAATTTTAAATGCTCCGTATTTTTGTAGTATCTGAAAATCATATTGTATACTTTTCGTATTTTTCTCACTTTATTGTAAGAAATTTACTCATAATACATAATTAATTTAATATTATTTTAGGATGATTACCATTCCATGTTCCTGTATGGCTTTCATTACCAATGAATTGTGATAGTTTATAAACGTACATTTCTGTGAATTGTCATAAAAATAAGGAACCATAATTTATATTGTGCCATACTTTAATGCATTGACTTGCTCTCTAAAATGTAAGACTTGTAAGATCACTTTTATTCTATAAAGAAAATCAAATATTTTTTTGTGTACCTATTTTTCTTTAAATACCCGGTCAATAGTATTTGGACGGTCTAAAATCTCTCCATTCCATACCTATTATTTTCCAGAAAAATATGAGAGTTATTTAGAGAGTAAGAAATCCTCTACGTTTTCTTGAAAACTTGTGATACTTGTAACCCAAAACCAAAAAAAAAATTACCAGAAAAACTTTGCAGAAAGCAAAAGTTCAAAAATGAAATCGCAATGAAGGTATCATTACATTTAAGGAACAAAAATAAATGACATCCTGTGTTTTGTGATGTTTTAAATTTGATCAAGCTTAAATCAAATGTCAATTTTGATTTAGCTTTTAAACATGATTTTTACTGTATAATCTTTTACATGAAAGAAATAACATGTAACATTGCAGTGATACTTTTAAAGCCTTGTCTCTTATGTGGCTCATTTCAGCATTTTCAGCCTTATCTTTTTAAAATGGGAATGGGAGTAAGCTCAATTAAACTCCACTTTTCTGTAAATAATCTTACAGAATTAATAAAAATTATTAATACATTTTCGGAGTAGATCTGTCCCTCATAGAAATCAGAAAATAAGCAAACTTCTGATTGCTTCCATCCCGAGCAACATGATGAACGAAAATACTTAAATAAAATCGCAATTTCATATCGAAAAGCTTTCTCCAATTTCATTTTCAGCTCCAAATTTTCATTCTTTGGCGTAGTTTGCTCTAGAGATCTACTGTCCCGATTTTCGTGATTTTTGCTACTAACATCTAATTATAACCCCTGGACCAGCCTATTTTCTTTAATGCTAGAAGTAGCATTTTAGATATAATCCCGTACAAAAAAAAAAAAAATTAAGAAATACTTATATGAATTATAAAATTTACGTAAGTTTGACCAAAAATTTAGAACAAACTGCATCATTGTATTCATGTGTTTACCCACTGTATTTTTCAGAATTTATGTGAACTTCATATTAGATATTAATCTAGCGTAATATTCATGGAAAAATCTCGTAAAAATTAGGATTAATAATGTTCATGAATGCTTCAGCACTAAAAGAATTATGCGATAATCAAGTACTTGAAAAAGATTTGAGTACCTAATCATACATCAGTGTGGGAGGACACAGCTAATTCTACCCAAAAGTTATTGACGCACGTGCCTCTCTCAAGCAGGGGCGGATCCAACAATTTGGTAACAACGGATTCCTTCCATTTAAACCTATTTTAAATAATCGATTCTTGTCGGGGCACCTGGCCCCTCCAAGAATCGATACATTTTCATAGGTTTAAATGGAGAAAAACAGTGTTGCCAATTTGCTAGATCCGCCAATGCTCTCGAGGAGTCTTGAGTTGCTGGATACTGATATAGAGGACCCAGGACCACCTACTCAAAACTTGTAACTGCACGTACTTAACCGACGGAAATGATCTTTACGTCTAAGTCCACTAATTGCACATTTGCTGAGTTAAATTGTGCAATAGGTACCGCATGTAACAATCACACACACATCAATCATACTGTATCTATGAAACAGGGGTAACTATACACAGTCGCGCGTACAGTAGTTTTGTCACTTTTGTTCTGTGTCCGTCCCGGCAAGGAGGACAGATCGATTTACTCTTCTCACTGCGTGTCTCGTTCTCTTTAGTTCGCCTTCAAAACCCGTGAAGGCAATACGAATGGCTTTGAACCGCGAATAGTTGCGCGCAGTGGTTCTGTCACTTTTCGCTTTAACCGGCACAGAACTAGGTACTTTGATCGCATCAGTCAACAATTTTTTTTTCTTTTTTTTTCTTTTTTTTCCATATAGGAATAGAATTGCCCAAAGCTCATTACCCCCTAACAAGCAGATTTTTAGTGCTGATTCCGAAAATGACCTCAGATTTTACTAGATCGGTTCGATTTTCTCCGGGAGTACAGAGAAGAATCGGAATTTCCCCTTACAGTCAAGCTTTTTTTTAGAGAGAAGTCAATTATCCGGGAAATCTGCCGGCGATGAAGAAAAACCCGGGTTCTTTTCTGATTCAGCAGCCAAATATACAACGAGGAGCATGCATTGCAAGCCTATTAGAATTTCCTTCCCGTTCCTAAAATCGAGTTTTTTCCGGTCATGTGCTCTCTTCCGCCCTTACACCACCAAGTAGTATAACTCATCCGATTGTTTTGCGTCGGAAGGGAGGGGGAATATATTTTTCACGGGTATCAAGTGGGGCTATTCTCCCTTTATTTTTGCCTTCATTTTCTTTCAAAATCTACCGTACATTTTTAGAGTATGGATTTAAAAAAAAATGGCGTTTTTCAGCTCATGGTCAGCAGGACACCCTCTTTTTGAAAATATGATTTTCTGAAGGTTTTGGAAGAAATGATGGTCATTTTCGGCTTCAGCAGAAAAATTTGAGCGGGTGTAATCTCGCTCTTGTTACCGGAGAAAAAAATATTTCCCATAAATTTAAATGAGGATAATCAATGCAGAGTTTGCAAACATTTTAAAATCATGAGTTAAAAAACGCTGACTATGCGAGTATAAATATTAAAGCCTAACAGAGCGGAGCAGCGTGCTGCCAGCGCGAGAGGCTCACTGGCGCCTACAAACCTAAGTGGATACTTCACGCATTGCACAATGCTTGAAGTATCCACTTAGGTTTGTAGGCGCCAAAGCGCGTTTCACGCTATGGCCGCCCGTCCGCCGTGCGGCGGCGCCTGAAGCAACTATTTCACAACAGAGGTGTTGCACAGTATTATACGACATTGAACGTATTAAGAATGACGGCCATCCTTTAAAAGTACAAATCTTTCCTCGCAAAATAAATCAAGATACTTATCGTACACTGGAAAAATCTAAGTGCCTTTAGTTGAGGCAAATATAGAGGTTTATCCAACTCAGGTATAACAAGGTGGGAATATCCTGAAAGATAATTAAGTCCTGTTACACCAAGGAGGTGTAGAGAGTTTTAGTGAATTTTTTCTCATGGAATTGACGCTCCCCCATTTTTACCAAAACTCTTAACTATATATTATTCTCCTATGGACCAAACAGGCAAAACAAAAAAACAAGCAAACCCTCATTCTTCCAAGACATTATACATTTTCATCCAAAAACGTCGTGAGCCATTGTCGTTTGTATTTACATGTGGACTAATTAACTTTGGGTCTCAACTGGCACTTGGACCAAAACTCTCGTGCCGAAAAAACGCGTGGACGTAAATTACTGGAAAAAACAGGTGCACGGACAAAAAATCGTTGACAAAATGTCCTATAACCCTTTTATACCTATTTTTATACTATTTTCCATATCAGAAAAAACATTATAAAAAAATACTGTGAAATCAACTCGTAAGAATTTTCTGCAGACGAAGCACTAAAAAAAATTTGCATGCAAATTCTCTGTTGTAGGGATATCTCCAATTTTTACAGAGAAAATCGAACTATTCCAGCAGAACGGAGGTCTTCTCCGGGAGCAGCGCTGAAAATGAACCTTGGAATCAAAAAATTTTCGGCCAGCCGACTGTTGACCTGCGTTCTTCTCTTCAGTGCGTGTCTCTCATTCTCTCGAGTTCGCCTTCAAAAATCGTGATGGCAATATGAGCGGCTTTGGACCACAAATAGTTGCATGACGCTCCTTATCGCCTCCATTCTTCTAAGTTCACCCTCAGTAACCGTGATGGCTGTATGAAGTCCTCGGGATCACGAATATTTGGGCACGGTGATGTTTCCACTTTTGCGTACCTACAATAAATCCGGCAAGAAAGGCACGGAAAGTATCCTGCCACCTTGAATGTATTCGTGAAGATATTCAGGCTATTCACTAACGTGATGGCAAAATTGTGGTGTGTCCTAAATTATTTGGATGATCGTCGCCATCACACTGAAAAAAAAATCTCGGTGTATTTACTGGGAAAAGGGTAAAATTACCAAGAATTCAGGGTTCTATTTGATCCCAGTTTTTTCGTAGTAAAATTACCATTTATGGAATTGGTAATTTTACCGAGAAATCTCGGTAAAGTTATTGAACTTTCTCGGTAATTTTACTGGACCTTGGTAAAAACGCCGATATTTTTTATTGACTGTGGTAGAATTACCGAGATAAAATGGCAAAGTTACCGGGAATTGATTACCAATAAAAGTGGTATTCTTACCTGAAAAAACAGTAAAAATACCCGTTTTTAGGTATAACCTTACCAGTCTGTCTTAGTAAAATTACCAGTAATTGGTAAAAAAAGTGAGATGGTAAAAGTGCCAACGGACCTTGGTAAAAACGCCGAGAACTTTTTTTCAGTGCAGTCATGATTGAATCCTCTGAATGAATCTCCACTCGGCTCTTGAAGCTCCCAAAAGTAGTTCCCCCGGGCCTAGGAGCACACACAAAAGCTCACGTCTCCGTCTCAATTTTTTCAAAAGTTACAGAAGTGGTACCTACAGCTAGCGGTGCGAGACTTTCAGATCGCTCTGTATATTCCCTTACAATAACCTTCCCTCGTACATTTTGAGTTCGAAAATTGTTTAAGGAAGTTAGGTTACGTTTTACAGTTGCACCGCTAACCCAAAACAATCCATTTTTGAAAAACGTGGTTTCCGAGTGCTTCACCGCGAACATTTTCTAGACTTGCCTTATTATTCCTGAATGACTGATGCATCGTTTGGATTTCGTTTTTACGTATCGCATGAAATGAGACACGTTGAGCAATTCCCTAAGCTCGTTAAACCAGCCCATAAAAAACAAAAAGGGTAATTTCGAAGATGTTGAGGCCAGTTAATTGTTTTGCCAGCCGTTTCTACTATTCATGCTAAGTTGGCTTTGACGGAAAAAGTCACCGTCAAAATGGAGTTCCTTAAATACGCCATAACCATCTTTCTTCTCGTGACGTGCGTAAGTAAACATTTAACTTTCAATCATCTCGCTTTCAAAAATTGTCATTTGAATCGTAGAAAGTCACTTAATTTACACGTATGATCGTCTACGGGAATATCGATGGTCTAAGTGCGAAACCACGTATCTCCATTGCAGTGTTTCA